ACATAATACACTACAGTACTATATAGCAATATAGAGAGCGCGACAACTAAATACTCCCTACACGTCCGCATATTTTTTAAAATCTCGTTAATAAATATTTTTTCTATTTTGTTTTGAATTATTAAAACTACTTGTGTTGCCTTATTTATTTGCTGAATATATGATTTATCTCGATTTAAAATTGTTATGGATAACATAAGGAAATTGCGCTTAAATTGTCACTAGACTTTTTATTAACTTGTTTTAAATATTTTTGGAGGCAGAAAATGCAGGAATTGCATTTTAAATTGCACTTAATTTTCTGTCTAAACATTAACCTTATCCTAAAGCTAACAAAGGTGCCGGAATGAACTGGCGAGAAATCGTATACTACACTCAGAGTTTCTTCCAGGCATCTCTTCGGGGGGGGGGGGGGGGGGGGGGGGGGCGAAATCAAATTTATATAATTTATATAGAAAATATATACTTTTAACAGTGTCCGCCCCCCCCCCCCCCCCCCGAAGAAAGTTTACCGCCCCCCCCCCCCCGAAAATTTCAAGTGCCCCCCCCCCCCCCGGAGAAAAAAGTCTGGAAGAAACACTACACTCAGACTGTTTACTATTGGGTGACTAGGAAGTTGTTGAAATATAGATGTATTTTATACATTGACGACCCATTTCAGGCATTACAAAAGTTGTCTAGGTATTCTATAGAGTGCCGGATTTGACACTTTGCCGGAAACAAACATAATTTTAAAAAATAAATAAATACTTCCGAATCATTTTAATAAATTCATATATATATATATATATATATATATATATATATATATATATATATATATATATATATATATATATATATATATGTCTATACTAAGCTTCAAATATTCTAAAGACAAAACCATACTTAATCTTTTTTTAATGAGATATAATTGGCCACACTTGTTTTTTCCTCGCCTCCCCCTCTTAAAACCCCAGCAAAAAGTGTTTGATCAGCTGTATTGTTATTCTGGTAGAAGGAAGTCTCGTTTTGCTGATCTCGGTATTTAGAGCTTTCACCTGTGTAAGAATATCGCAGTGAACAGTATCGTGTTTTTTCTTGCTTTCGTCACCAATTAAAGCTACACGGCTAAAATATGGGGAGAACCATCGAGTAGGAGGATAACAGATAACATATAGACATTTTGTTAGTTAGGTTGGCTGGCCGGGTTGTCTCTTCACGGGTTGGCCAGGTTGTCTCTTCACGGGTTGGCCAGGTTGTCTCACCACGGGTTGGCTGGCCAGGTTGTCTCATCACGGGTTGGCCAGGTTGACTCACCACGGGTTGGCCAGGTTGACTCACCACGGGTTGGCCAGGTTGATTCACCACGGGTTGGCTGGTCAGGTTCTCTCACCACGGGTTGGCCAGGTTGTCTCACCACGGGTTGGCCAGGTTGTCTCACCACGAGTTGGCCAGGTTATCTCACCACGGGTTGGCCAGGTTGTCTCACCACGGGTTGGCTAAGCCAGTTAGTTTGGAACAGACAAAAGCTGGGTGTACACTAATGGCAAAATCTGTTGACGTAACTTGGGATAATATTTGCCTCGTAAACCTGTGCCATCTTAGCTCCAGGCTCAGATTGTGTTGGGGTGGGGAGGGGGGGGGGGGTAGTTTGATAGGAGGGGAGGGAAGGAGAATGAGGAGGTAAGGAAAATCTGGACCATTTTTTACCTCGTGGCATCGAAGTTCTCCTGAGAGGTAAATTTCCCCGTTCCCCACCCCACCCCAGCCCCCCACCCACCCCACTCCTCTCAGCCAAACCTTTCCGTTGATCACCTGAATATTTACTAAATGAGTATGTATGTTTCCCATAATTCCTCACTTTTATATCAGTTAATCGCGGTTAACACCCTCTCCCTCCCCCACTAACCCTTACCTCACCTAACAGCCGAGTGTAGTTAAGCTCAACTTAAAACAAATTAGTGCTTTATGCTGTGAAGTATTCATTTACAGCCATCACGTGACCATATTCAGGTACAAAAAGTGAAGGTAAACAGTACGATCACATGACTGTCACATGATACTCTAGTTGGTCTTATGAGACCACCGTCTGTTGGAGCAGCTATTTGCTGCTACTGGGGTTTGTATGGCTCACAGCTAGAGTGTCTCTAGCTATTTCCAGCCAGGGCGTCTTGAGCTAATCTTAGCTATAACTGTCCCAGCTAGCCAACATTAGTTGCTCCAGCCACTACCAGCTAAAGTGCTGCAGCCATTTTCAGCCATAGCTAATCTCGCTATTCCCGATACAACATGCACTCATCACGTGAGACTTGAGTTTAAGATGCTGTAAAGTAGTGAGATACAATAGTGAGATACAATAGTGAGATACAATAGTGAGATACAATAGTAAGATACAATAGTCAGATATAATAATGCTATTACAATATTAGACGTGATGTTTGTCAGTCTAAAAACTCAGACACCCCCCTCCCCGCCCCTTAAAAAAAACGACACACTTCAGACACCACACCACCCCTCCTCCAAGCAATTATGCTTTTCGAAAGAAGCATTTTATTATTTCAAGCATTATTAAGTCTTTCCTCTTCAACAAATAAATAATGATCTGATGTTGTGGTTCATTTGTCAATTTAGCTAAAAACATCGCTGGGTAATATTTTCAAATTTCAAAAAATTAATTTTTCTTTAAAGTTTTTTTTAATGACAAAAAAAAAAATGATAAAATTACTTTTTTTAAAAAAAAAACCCAGAGGCGGGATGTAAAACTATGAACCTACCCTCATACAATGGTATTGTTAATCTCTCTCTTTCCCCCCCCCCCCCCCCCCCCGTCCTGCTTTCGGGAACGTGGCATTAGTTAATGGCGATCTCAAATATCAAACCAAAATTCAAAATTTAAAGCAAACATATTTTTAAAATTAATTTTACAATTTAGTGAATGTGGCAAGTGTGTTTGTGTCACATTGTGGCAAATGTGGCAAGTGTGTTTGTGTCACATTGTGACGAATGTGGCAAGTGTGTTTGTATCACATTGTGACGAATGTGGCAAGTGTGTTTGTATCACATTGTGACGAATGTGGCAAGTGTGTTTGTGTCACATTGTGACAAATGTGGCAAGTTTGTTTGTATCACATTGCGACGAATGTGGCAAGTGTGTTTGTGTCACATTGTGACGAATGTGGCAAGTGTGTTTGTATCACATTGTGGCAAATGTGGCAAGTGTGTTTGTATCACATTGTGACGAATGTGGCAAGTGTGTTTGTATCACATTGTGGCAAATGTGGCAAGTGTGTTTGTATCACATTGTGACGAATGTGGCAAGTGTGTTTGTACCACATTGTGACGAATGTGGCAAGTGTGTGTCACATTGTGACGAATGTGGCAAGTGTGTTTGTGTCACATTGTGACGAATGTGGCAAGTGTGTTTGTGTCACATTGTGACGAATGTGGCAAGTGTGTTTGTGTCACATTGTGGTGAATGTGGCAAGTGTGTTTGTATCACATTGTGGCGAATGTGGCAAGTGTGTTTGTGTCACATTGTGACGAATGTGGCAAGTGTGTTTGTGTCACATTGTGACGAATGTGGCAAGTGTGTTTGTGTCACATTGTGACGAATGTGGCAAGTGTGTTTGTGTCACATTGTGACGAATGTGGCAAGTGTGTTTGTGTCACATTGTGACGAATGTGGCAAGTGTGTTTGTGTCACATTGTGACGAATGTGGCAAGTGTGTTTGTGTCACATTGTGACGAATGTGGCAAGTGTGTTTGTGTCACATTGTGACGAATGTGGCAAGTGTGTTTGTATCACATTGTGGCGAATGTGGCAAGTGTGTTTGTATCACATTGTGGCGAATGTGGCAAGTTGTGTTTGTATCACATTGTGACGAATGTGGCGACCTATATTGGTGTCACAAAGATCAGATCAAGTGATGCTGTAGCCTACATGCAGGTGGTGATGTTGCTGCGATCATTTCAACCCATCAGACGTCTTTTATCAACGATGATAACTCTGGCATCTCCGTACCGCTGGTCCCAGAAATAGAAGGCTTTGTTCCTTCACCTACAGCGGATAAAGTGGGGATTAAAAGGCAAGGTGAAGGTCAGGTAGCGATCTTTAAACTCGATGGACAGTCAATGATCCAGGCACTACCGGAATAAATAAGGTTATTTTCCTCAGCCCTCACCTCAGCGATCTCTACTCACACGTAATATTACTCACCCTCTCACCCCTCCCCCCACCCAGATTTCTGAGCAGTTGCCAGGCACCGACTCGCCTTATATGGCGCAAACACTTTCGTCCCTGGGAACTTTCTATTCTTACCTGAGTCGTGCGGCGAGCGCACGTGCGCGCGCGTGCTGTACACACACGAGCATAATACATCCAACTCACACCGTGCACTTGTTGCATCTGATCGCCTCCCCTTCTGCCCCCTGCTTGCCATATACCGACCCGTGTTCCCCCATCTTTCCAAGAAAAAATAGAAAACAAATTATTTCATACCTCTGGTCCGGCTGTTTGAGTAAACAAAATTAGATAACTGCTCGTTAGATTACGCTGGCCGGTGTGTATGCAGGACAGAATGCCAAGAATAATTGTATGAAAAACATAGAGCCCCTCCTTTAATTCCCCCCCCCCCCCCCCCCACTCCCCCCTTCCGACTTACACCTTTAGTTAGAGTACGAACTTTAAGCTAACTTAAAATATATTTATAAGATAATTATAGAAGGATTTGTGATGGGGGTGGGGGGTTGGGTGGTGATGGAGGGAGTGAGGGGTGAAAAGGATGAGGAGGGGAGATTAAGAAAAATTTCCCTGAGATATTTTGTTATTGTTTTTCCTTTTAATTTTTTTATTTTTAATTGAAAACTCCAGTGCTGTGATAGCGCTGCCATCTTTGACTCCCTCTCTCGTCTGTTTTGAACGGAACTTTGCTCTCACGCATGCGTAGGAGTAGGCAAAGCCAGGATGTATATAGATACAGAAAGTAAGGGTATTTAAGGAATTTGTTTGTGAGGGGGCTCTACCAGACTTTACCTGCGTGACGCCAGCAGACCTGCTCACAGCACGAGTGACGTGGGGGCCATCAGAAGTAAGCCATCAAAAGCAGCGGTACCCGTAGCTGCTCCTCCACTCATTTCGACTTTCTTGAGTTATCCCCCGGCCACCGCATCCTTCCATTGTTGAGGCAAGGATTAAGTCCAGACAACAGGGAAGCTACAGCAGACAGAGCCACAGCCACCATGGACTACGACTCCGATGTTTCTATTGTAAGCCGCAAGGTGTCACGTACATACAATGTCTACCGTGGGGCGTCCCCAACCACTCAGAACAGATTGGAGGTATGTCATAGCTTCGCTTGATCAATGCTTTACCATAGTTTTATAACAGATGCTTTCTACTGCTTATAAGCGGTGCTTTTTATTGCATATATGCGGTGCTTTCTATTAAATAAATGCGGTGCTTTCTATTAAATATATGCGGTGCTTTCTATTGCATATATGCGGTGCTTTCTATTGTTCAGTATTGCATGGATTATTGGCTTCTACTTGGCTGCTAGCTGGTACTAAACTTCCACGGATTTGCTATGTTCAACTGTTTTCTATCTGTTTAAAGATCATATTTAGTAGTAAAACTTTATGTGCTTCATGGACGTTGATATTCAATGAACATCGGACGATCTAAGGATGTTTTCTGCTTAAAACTGTGTGGTGATGACGTGAACATCTTTAAAACCATCAGCTTTTTGTGAATCGAACCATCAGTATTGTCCATTCAATAGACAGAACATCAGCCCCAAGTAAACTGACCAATATAGACAGAACATCAGTCCCAAATGAACTGAACAATATAGACAAAACATCAGTCCCAAATGAACTGAACAATATAGACAGAACATCAGTCCCAAATGAACTGAACAATATAGACAAAACATCAGTCCCAAGTGAACTGACCAATATAGACAAAACATCAGTCCCAAATGAACTGAACAATATAGACAAAACATCAGTCCCAAGTGAACTGACCAATATAGACAAAACATCAGTCCCAAATGAACTGAACAATATAGACAAAACATCAGTCCCAAGTGAACTGACCAATATAGACAAAACATCAGTCCCAAGTGAACTGACCAATATAGACAAACCTCACCCCCCACTTGTCAACTGACCCAGTAATGACCCCTCTCTAGATAAAACAAAATGTTAAGCCTTATTTCATTCAACTCGCTGATTACAAAGACTGTAGTAAGAGAAGAACAAGTACAAAATGCATGAACCGTTTCTATATTTGAAACATTACTTGTTGCTGTAGTCAGCAAATTAAAGTACTAAAAAAGGAGTGTATTTGTAAAGGTTATTTGGGGTCAGGTGTAAACAGCTTATTTATGTCTTGTTGAATGGCTTGGTAAAGACGTGGTTGTTGGTTTACATATGTGTTGTTTAGTGTACTCACTAACTGCTTTTAAAACGTTTGGGCATGATTATAAAATTATAATAAGTTAAAGAAACAAACTTGTCCAAATGGGTTGAAGATAAATTTTGATTTTAGAAAAACTTTGGAGCAATTTTCTGGAACCTTGCCTAAGTAGGTCAGTGCTATCAGCCAGCCAACAGAGGGGCTAGCCCAGGCTAAAAATAAACTGTAGATAGCCAAGCAGGATCCTGGGTACATTTGGACAGATTTTTCCTTTCGGTTATCAGTTGGTTGTTTCTGTAGAGACTGTTAGGTGTTTTTTTTGTAGGAAGGGTTAGGTTTTTTTTTCTTAGAATTTCTGTATTTTTTCAGTGAAATAATACATTTTATTTTTTGTTTTGCATCTTGAATTTATTTCAACTAAAATAAAATTTGTGAACGCATATTTTTTTCTTTGAAAATAAAACGGAGATTCTGGTCAAACGAATAATGGACTAGTCCATTTCAACATCCTAGTCATGGGTTAGTCCACTAATATTGGTGGGGGTTTTCTTTCTAAATAACCCCAGGTCCCCAATCTAGAGGTGAAATGAATTGATCAAGCACTGTGTTAATCTAGACTTAGTTTAGACCGTCTTCAGACGATATATGGATATATATGGATATATCTTCCGCGAGAATACCCATGCTTACATTCTTATAGTCGTTGCCTAGGTTACCTGGAATGGTGGGATGCTATCAAATTTGTTTTTACAGTTTTGCATTGTGCGTGAATGGGTGGGGATGTGGGTGTGTGGGTGTGTGTTCACTTGCCTTCGTGATATGTTAAGGATCGGGACCTGGATGATGTCAAGAGTATGGAGACCCAAGAGCATCATTTGTTATAATTTGTTTGTCTGCACTGCACTCAATTGTTCGTACTTGCAGTGGGCACCACCATTTTGTAACGACACAATTTCTTATCAAATGTAATACGTTTGTAATATTGCAATGAAATATAACACATTTATAACATTGCAATGAAATGACCAAGATTGGCTAAAAAAAAAATCTTCAGTGATTACGTCACGACTGTACCTGGCCAGAATGTTGATACCCCCCTCCATTCTCCACCCCCCTCCGTGTACACACACAGGTGCGAAACGTCTCACGGACGTACAGTAGCGGCGGGGAGACGACCGTGAACAAGAGTGAGTCCCGGGTCGTGAACGCTGCCAACCAGATGTTTGAGCGAGACGAAGCGAGGTACCAGGTACTGTCAGCAGGTAGATTGGTCGGTTGCAAGGGCCGAAACTCTCATTTGTTGTGTTACCCACAACCTAGTAGCCTCCCGTGTTATTTCTCCTCGGATTTTGCTCCCCTGATTCCTGTTTCCTCACCTCGTGTGATTTAACGACGTTTTTTACAGGGGATTTTTTTTAAATGTAGAAATTTGGTTGCAGTTGTTTCCCTTGTTAAGCAGTGCTCGCCCTTTATTTAACTGAAACGGTAAAAAGAAATGTACTCCGTGTTTTACTCTATGTGTTCACAATAGCATGTACGTGTTTATTTACACAGTCAAGAACTTGCAGGGGCGATTTGCTGACAATAGCATTTCGGGCCTGCAACAAAGGTGTGCTTACATGGTGTGTGATGGGTGTTTTGCTTACAATAGCATGGGGCTTGATGGGTGTTTTGCTTACATGGGGCTTTAATGGGGTGATTTGCTTACATGGGGCTGGATGGGGTGTTTTGCTTACAATAGCATGGATTTGTTTACAATAGGATGGGGCTTGTAAGGCAATGTGTATTACGTGCTCACAGAACTTGCACAAGTAATTAGCCTAAATTAGCAGGAAGTCTGCAGGTATAATTAGCTCATGAGAGAAAGTAATACCTGCAGTAGTGCATGGTTAACACAGTCGTGCTGTTTCTTATTCAGTTAGGTGGTACCTAGCTACCTATTTTTGGGTCCTCTATAACTTTATAAACACATTAACATGATAAATAGTTGCTGTATTATATAATCATATACTGCTATAGTCATTTAGGAAATAAATTAGCTAGTATTTTTTTAAAATAAGGATTACATCTAAACTGGGGCTAAGGATAAGCTTGAAGTAGACTATACCTAAACAGAGACATCTATAAGTAATAGGCTCGTCATTATTTTAATGGTCGTTCACTAGAAACTTTATGGTATTTACTGATTGATGATCGCACGTTTTGTTGTTAAAATGTGCATGATGTAGTGTGTACTTGTTCTAGATGTGTGCAGTCTTGTATTTCAGCATCACAACAAAATCTCCCCACCCCTCCCCACCAACTCGCTGCTGAGGTATAGCACTTCCTTTAAAGGTAGGAGGGGGTGGGGGTTGGGGGGGGGGTAGAATCTGGCACGTCTTACCTCTCCACAAATTCAAACGGATGGAAAAATAAAATAAAAAAAAAACATCGCTTAAAGATAGCAGCGCCTGTTTGCTGACGTCATTGTGTGTAAAAAAAAAAAAATCAGAAGCACCGCGTCAGGTTGTTGGTATAGTCCGTTTAAAACGTGCTTCATCTTTTTAACACAGCTCGTGGATAAGATGCTCAAAATATTTCTTTATTTTGTTATTTTATTCATTCGGGCAGACAACTTGTATTTTTTATATCTTGTTTCAAAACGGGCGATAACTTTTAAAATTGTATCGTAGGGTTATGTCCCTTAGAGAAAAAACACTTTGTTAACCTGAATACAACTGTACTTTAAAACGAACTTACGAATCGACTGGAGCCTTTGGTATTTTACTTTGAATCAAGTGGGGCAATTAGATAAGCTTTGAGATTTAAAGCTATCTCATGTAGATATAGAAAATGTGATTAGATATCAATGGAACATGATATAAGAGATATAGATGTATCGATGACAATTTAATGAGTTTTCTAAGATGCAATTAAGCGACAGTTGCTACCTAAATTAAAATGTAATTATTTCAACCAGCCGTTAATGACAGGAAAATTAATCAGCGGAGGTAAACCTGGGCAACAGTTAAATAAACAAAAAAGTTATTTTCTTATTTTCTGCGTACGTTATGGTATCTCTAGAAACCTAGTCTTGTTGGCAACGGTCTAAGTGGGGGTTGATGTAAGGTAGCTCCCCGCACCCTCCCTCACCCCACCCCCACACTAGACCATTTCGAGCTAGAAAAGTGTAAACTTACCTGTATCTATTTATGCCGAGTCAGCGCGCCTCTTGGCACGAGATCATTATGTGTAGGAGCAAAGAATCTGGCGTTACCATGACGACGGAGTTCCTGAGTGTACACGCCTGCCCGAGTGCCGCAGCGCGTGCCAGAAAACCTGCCAGATTAATTTACATAAAAAATGGCGATAACATTTTAGGGGGAAAAAAAGATCAATTAAATCTGGATAGAGTTGAACATAATGACTTGGGTGTTGCCTCCCTTGAACGATTATCGTTCCTGATTGTTGGAAGCTGTTTCCCTTATCTGGAGAGCCTACACAGAGACTGATAGATAGCACCGTTTGATGTTTGGTTTGGTGTTTGGGTGAGACTAGAGTTTGGCATGTGATTGGGTCTTGGGTTTTAAAATGCTTACATTACTTTGATCTGGTGCCCACTACAAAGGTTAACAGAAACTTGGAATTTTATTTCAATTTTTATTTTTTATTTTAGAGAATGACATGTGATCTAGACAGAGTTTGGTGACTTACTTAAATGATAAGAGCAGAATTCAAAACATTACTTTATGTGAATGGACTTAACATTTTAAACGATTAAATACAGAATTTGATTTAATTTTCTTTTTGTAGCGCCCCCATCCCCCCACTTTAGTTCAACATCACTTATGTAAAGAACAATAACTCAAAAAAAACCAGAATAATAATACGACTTGTATTTTTTTTGTTAATTCTGTAAAGGTTAGATTTATCGTTAACTACTTTCTACGTTTAAGATGTGCTTAGTTATAATTAAATCTCCATTATACGACACTTGTGAATTAGTGTAGTGCATTGAAATATAGAAGTGACTTTAGTCATTGTTGGATTTTGTGACTTTTTTGCTATAGCTAGATTTTGTGAGTTTATCTAAAGCTAAACTTTGACTTTAGCTATAGCTAGATTTTGTGACTTTAGCTACAGTGAGACTTTGTGACTAGCTACAGCTAGACTTTGAGACGTGTGGTATAGGTGGACACAGTGAACCTTGTAGGAGTGGTATCTGTAACTACTAAAGGCTGTCTATAAAAGCTTTGTGTTAGGTTTGAGTGAACAGTTTGTGGTTGTCAAGACATTCAACTAATTTTGTTATAATTATGTCAACGTTTTAAAATCTTTTCAGATCTAATTTGACTAGCTCTAAATGATTTTGTTGAACTAGATATCTTTAATACTATTACTGTGATCTGAATAAATATATTCCTCTGTTGATTATATTTAGAGCTATACTTTAAGATCACGATGACTTAATAAAAAAAAATTAAAATATTTCAGTCTCGTCTGAGAGAACTGGAAGATGCTCTGGACAGTGAAAGAGATGGACGCCTTAGGGTAAGTCTTGTTTAGCACTCTCTGATATAGGTTAGTCAATTTTAGCACTCTGATATAAGTTAGTCAATTTTAGCACCCTGATATAAGTTAGTCCATTTTAGCACTCTGATATAAGTTAGTCAATTTTAGCACCCTGATATAAGTTAGTTCATTTTAGCACTCGCTGGGATGGGTGAGTCTATTTTAGCATTCTACATGGGTTAGTCTATTTTAGTACTCTGATATTAGTTAGTCCATTTTAACACTAGCAGACATTGGTTAGATCATATATTTAATCCCTGATTATCACTTGTATAATCTGTCAAGGCTCTAATAAAGCCGTTATTTTATAAGATTATGTAAAGCACAAAGTCCTGCATGCAAGTCTGCGAAGTGGAGCACTAATATATACCTACAGCCATTTTGATTCCATTATGAACGTTTTATTGATGAAAGAAACCCCATTTAAAATTAGTCGTGTGACCTACTAAAGGTGTGATGACGTGTCTTTCAGGCGGAGAAACTTTTGGCTGAGATGCAGTTCAGGTACGAACAGGTTCAAGACAGCCTGGAGGAGCAAGGTGGAGTGGCATCCCAACAGGTAAAAACACCTGCCTCTGTCTTTAGCTTAGCTCGGAGATTAAGGCAATATAGTTTAAGCTCGGAGCTTATAGAGTGTCGTAGATCACATTATGTTCTGTCAAGGTTTAAGCTTATTCGCCGTGTTTTAAAAATAAAATAAAACAAAACCTACCCAACAAAACCTACCCAACAAAACCTACCCAACAAAACCTACCCAACAAAGCCTACCCAACAAAACCTACCCAACAAAACCTACCCAACAAAACCTACCCAACAAAACCTACCCAACAAAACCTACCCAACAAAACCTACCCAACAAAACCTACCCAACAAAACCTACCCAACAAAACCTACCCAACAAAACCTACCCAACAAAACCTACCCAACAAAACCTACCCTTTCTTTTGTTTTGATTTGGTCGTGTTGAGTTGTTGAATCCAAATTTGAAGTAGCTCCCTTGTAGATTACAACCACATTTGGTATTAATGTAATTTGGCTGTACCGAACATGGCCCAGCCAACAACCAACAGGGCCCAACTAGTGTTCCTATGTATCGTAAATAAATCTAACAGAGCTAATTAACTAATTAACCCTCCAATTACAGAGCGAAATCAGCAAGAAGCGAGAGGCTGAGGTGAACAAACTGAGGAAAGACCTGGAAATGGTCAATGCTCAGTTCGAACAAACAGAAAACAGTCTCAGGAAAAGACACCAGGAATCAATCAATGACCTTTCTGACCAAATCGAACACCTGCAGAAATCCAAAACCAGGTCAGGCTTGTTCTTAAGATGTGGGGCATATGTTAGGGCATATGTTAGGGCATATGTTAGGGCATATGTTATGGCTTATGTTAGGGCATAGGTTTGGGTATAGGTTAGGGCAAAAGTTATGGCATAAGTTAGGGCATATGTTAGGGCAATGGTTAGGGCATAGATTATGTCATAAGTTAGGGCATATGTTAGGCTATAGGTTAGGACATAGGTTATGGCATATGTTAGAGCACAATTTAGGGTATTTATTATGGTAAAATTTAGGGCATATTGGAAGACAGTTAAAGGGGCACTTAACTCCCGATTTCACGCCTCAGTGATTGTCCTTGTGTATCCCCAGGGTCGAGAAAGAAAAACAGACCCTCGTCATTGAACTGGATGGCCTTTCTGGACAACTGGACTCTGTCAGCAAGGCCAAGGTCAGGACATTGTGTTCTTTCAGTTTTAAGAGTTGATTCTTTCAGTGTTTGATAGTTGCTGTTTTTTTTTTTTAAATTTTTCTTGAACTTGAGAATATAATGTGTGTTAACATCTTCTGGTGAAATGTCCTGATGTGTGATGTGTGTTCTATCCTTACAACAAAATGTCGTGTTGTTCCCTCAGGCCTCAGCTGAGAGCAAGCTTGACGCCTCTGAACAAGCCAACATTCGCTTCAAGGCTCAAGTGGACGACATGGCCCGCCAGTTGAACGACTTAACTTCATTGAAAGCCAGACTCACACAGGAGAACTTTGACCTTCAACACCAGGTAATTTCAAGGTCACTCGTCGTTAAAACATGCCAGTCCATTTCCACCCCCATCCTCTAATTATCTTCATTATTGAGTACTTCATAATAGTAAAGGCTAATGTTCTGTAAATGTGGACGATGTTGACAGTGTAAAACCAAATACAAAGTGTTATAATGTACGAATAAACTATAAGTTACTAACAGATTGGATTATCTCCCTGCAGGTCCAAGAACTCGACTCCAGCAATGCCGCCCTTGCCAAAGCCAAATCCCAACTCCAACATCAAAATGACGACCTTAAACGTAATCTTGATGACGAATCTAGGGTAAGTTCTTACATTGGTAACCCAGGGGAAGTAATACACTAAATACAATAGTTGAATCAAGGGCATTTTTAAAAATTGAATTATAGTTAAAGTGGAAGTCCTTATTCAAAGAGAAGTAATTACAATTCATCTTTATAGGGAGATTACCTTATGTTCTATAGGTTTGGATTTAAGTAAGTAAAAAATGTTGCGTATATAAAAAAATACTTTTTTTTTGCACTTCAATAAAATCTGGGAATAATTGACTTTTCAGCAAAGACAAAACCTGCAAGTGCAGCTCTCTGGATTACAAAGTGACTACGACAATCTGAACGCTCGTTTTGAGGAGGAGGCCGAATCAGCCAACAACCTCCGCGCTCAGCTCAGCAAAGTCAACACCGAGTTCAGCGTCCTCAAGGCACGATTCGACAAGGAGATCCAGATCAAGACCGAGGAATTCGAGGAGCTGAGGTACTGGCTTTTGTTGCCATGGCAACGTTTCACTCCAAACATTTTGTTTGTATTAGGTTTTATGGTTATTAAGCATTGTAATAGTCATTTTTAAAAATCTAAAAGCTTGTACGCTTTAGATAATGATTATCTAACTCTGAATCATTAAGCCTCTTATGTCTACCTGTATAACCCTAACCCTCTCATGTCTACCTGTATAATCCTAACCCTATCACGTCTTCCCCCTACCAGACGTAAACTGACAGTCCGCATCACTGAGCTTGAAGACATCAACGAGCAGCTCCGTGTCAAGAACGGCGGCCTTGAGAAAGCTAAAGCCAAACTTACAGCTGAAATCAAGGAAATCACCATCGAGCTTGAAAACGTAAGCTAAAAGGCAACTATCACTTGATAGCAGACTCGAAACTATATGTTTGTCCATGATCCAAATATCATACCACACCCAAATACAACAACAGACTCATACCACCTCAAGCTACACCAACAGGCTCATACCACCACACCCAACCACACCAGCATATTCATACCACATACAACTACACCAACAGCTTCATATCACACCCACCTACACCAACAAGTTCATTCCACACCCAACTATACCAACAGCTTAGTACCACATCCATCTACACCAACATATTGATACCATACAAATCTACACAGCTTCTATGGATCACTATGCTGAATAGATTTCAAATAAAATGTGTCAGACAGTCCTAACAATGGCTAACGATAAAAATGTTTCTTGCACCCAACAGACACAGATCATCTAAAATGTTTCTTGCACCCAACAGACACAGATCATCGTCCAATGATAAAAATGTTTCTTGCACCCAACAGACACAGATCATCTAAAATGTTTCTTGCACCCAACAGACACAGATCATCGTCCAATGATAAAAATGTTTCTTGCACCCAACAGACACAGATCATCTAAAATGTTTCTTGCACCCAACAGACACAGATAATCTAAAATGTTTCTTGCACCCAACAGACACAGATCATCTAAAATGTTTCTTGCACCCAACAGACACAGATCATCGTCCAATGATAAAAATGTTTCTTGCACCCAACAGACACAGATCATCTAAAATGTTTCTTGCACCCAACAGACACAGATCATCTAAAATGTTTCTTGCACCCAACAGACACAGATCATCTAAAATGTTTCTTGCACCCAACAGACACAGATCATCTAAAATGTTTCTTGCACCCAACAGACACAGATCATCGTCCAAGACCTCACCAAACGCAACAGACAGTTGGAGAACGAGAACGCCGCCCTCCAGAAACGTGTGGACGAGCTGACCATCGAGAACAACAGCCTGCGTGCAGACAAGGCCAATCTGGAGCAGGAGGTGTACAGGCTCCGTGTGGCCAACGCTGAACTCACTGAGCGCAACGACAACCTGCAGAGGGAGAACAAACAACTTTCGGGTAGGTCTTGATCTGTCTTGGTCAGTCTAGGTCAGTCTTGGTCTGATGGTCAGTCTTGGTTAGTCTTGGTCTGTCTTGGTCAGGCTTGGTCTGATGGTCAGTCTTGGTCAGTCCTGGTCAGTCTTGGTCAGTCTTGGTCAGTCTTGGTTAGTCTTGGTTAGTCTTTGTTAGTCTTGGTTAGTCTTAGTCAGTCTTGGTCTGTCTTGGTCAGTCCTTGTCAGTCTTGGTCTGTCTTGGTCAGTCCTGGTCAGTCTTGGTCTGTCTTGGTTAGTCTTAGTCAGTCTTGGTCTGTCTTGGTCAGTCCTGGTCAGTCTTGGTCAGTCTTGGTTAGTCTTGGTTAGTCCATTGATGGATGGAAGATTTACTGATTCTCGGAATTGTTGATATATTTAATACATAGGTCAAATTCAACGAAACGTTTCTCCTTATTTGTCTACTACCTGTTGCGATGAATCAATATCTTTTTCCCCTGATTCCTCCAGATCAACTTCGTGAGGCCAACCAGGCATTGAAGGATGCCAACCGCGAACTCGCTGATCTGCGTGCATTGAGAGCTCAGTTGGAGGCTGAGAGAGATTCCCTTGCTGCTGCCCTGAAGGTAAAGCTACGTCCTTCTTTGACTAGTTCTAATTAGTTATTAATTCTAATAAAATTTGTATAATCTGGAAACACAAGAGTAAGTTTTTGTACTAATTCAGTTGTCTAACTATTTTGGATTTGCATCTTAGGACACCGAAGATGCTCTTCGCGATGCTGAAAACAAACTGGCCAACGCCAACGCTGCCCTTGAGAAACTCAGACAAGACATGGAAGCCAGACTTCGTGAGAAGGATGAGGAACTCGAGAACATCAGGTACGTGGGGAAGGATCTTCTGGGAACTACCTTCAGAGAATATTAGCTTATGATGATAATCTCAAAACTTCTACTGTTACCAGTGTTAGACTCGCTTGTCGTATAGCACCAATGTATATTTGTTGTTCACACTTTCCAATAACTCTCTGACCGTTGATTCCGTCACCAGACGTAGCAGTGCCAGAGCCATTGAGGAACTCCAGCGTACACTGATCGAGGTGGAGACCCGCTACAAGTCTGAGATCACCCGCATCAAGAAGAAGTACGAGTCTGACCTCCGTGAACTTGAGGGTGCACTGGACAACGCCAACAGGGCCAACGCCGAGTACCTGAAACAGATCAAATCCCTCCAGGGCCGTGTCAAGGTGAGGAAAACATTTGGCTGACTAGGGACTTTATAGATGTATCAATCTATGCACGTAGAAACTTTATAGGTGTATCAGTCTATGCACGTAGAAACTTTATAGGTGTACAAGTACAGGATTTAGGAACTTAGTTTATACATGTACCAGTCTATGCATATTGAAGATTAGTTCAACGATGTATTCTACACATTTGGAAATTATTTTACTATTGTAATGCAGAAATCAAGGACTTTAGTTTAATGGTGTGATTTGCATATCTAGGAAAATATTTGAGTGTCGCAGTCTTTGAATACTGAAACTTTCTTTTCAATACGTTGTCATTGACGATTCCCACTAGACCTGACCAGACTTTAAAAATATCTCTCCTTCTCCCCCCCCCCCCCTCTAGGAGCTGGAGACACTTCTGGAGGAGGAGCGTCGTATCGTGGATGACCTCCGCAACCAGCTGTCACTCAGTGAGAGGAAGAGACTCGTCCTTGCCCAGGAGCTGGAGGATGCCAGATCACTGCTTGAAGCTGTAGGTTCACGTCATAGGTTTATGCGATAGGTTTATGGTATAGGTTTACGTGATAGGTTGACGGCATAGGTTTATACCATAGGTTCATGGTTTAGGTTTATGTGATAGGTTTACGTGATAGGTTTACATAGGTTTAAAGTTAAATAAATAATCAATCTTAAAATAACGGACAAAAATTAAACCATTACTGAAATCACATGTGTGTATGTTAAATGTTTACTAATATCATATGTATGTATGTAAACCTTACTAATATCATATGTGTGTCTACAAGGCCGAGCGTGCTCGCAAGAACGCCGAGGGTGAACTGCAAGAGGTCAACATTCGTATCAGTGAGCTGACCATTCTTGTCACATCTTTGACTAACGACAAGAGACGTCTGGAAGGAGACGTTGGTGCTCTCCAGGTAAGACTTGCACGGGATTCAACTATGTCAATTGGCGGGTAAAAGTAAACAAAATAGTTAGTCGATTCATTATACGGATTATGTCATGTGGATTATATCATGTAACGGATTATAAAATGTAACGACCTTGTCTGACAGAGTGACCTTGATGACGCCATCAACAACCAACGTGCAGCTGAAGAACGTGCCGAGAGATTAGCCAATGAGAATGCACGTCTTGCTGATGAACTTCGTCAAGAACAGGTTGGTTAACTTTCGTTCTATAGCAAGGTCACGGTTAATACACCTATTTATTGTCACGTGATCAATAAACTATCCAGCATATCGAAAAGTCTCATGTGTGTCATGGATGTTGATATCCCACTTTCAGGAGAACTACAAAAACGCAGAGAGTCTGCGCAAACAACTTGAGATTGAAATCAGGGAGATCACAGTCCGTCTGGAGGAAGCTGAAGCTTTTGCCCAGAGGGAAGGCAAGCGCATGGTCGCCAAACTTCAGAGCCGCGTAAGTACTCACCTTCTTACCATCTATACTTACATCCTTACATGAGATATGTAGTCCAGGGAGAAGGAAGGCGATATTTAAACCTTCCTGCCAATATATTTTGTTGTGATTTCGATCTTGAAACCTTCCTGCCTGTATATTTTTGTGAGATATTGATGTTGAAACCTACCTTCCCGTAAATATTGTTGTAATACTGACGTTGAAATCTACCCATCCATAAATATTGTTGTAATACTGACGTTAAAATCTACCCATCCATAAATATTTTTGTAATGCTGACGTTGAAATCTACCCATCCATAAATATTTTTGTAATGCTGACGTTGAAATCTACCCATCCATAAATATTTTTGTAATGCTGACGTTGAAATCTACCCATCGATAAATATTTTTGTAATGCTGACGTTGAAATCTACCCATCCATAAATATTTTTGTAATGCTGACGTTGAAATCTACCCATCCATAAATATTTTTGTAATGCTGACGTTGAAATCTACCCATCCATAAATATTTTTGTAATGCTGACGTTGAAATCTACCCATCCGTAAATATTTTTGTAATGCTGACGTTGAAATCTACCCATCCATAAATATTTTTGTAATGCTGACGTTGAAATCTACCCATCCATAAATATTTTTGTAATGCTGACGTTGAAATCTACCCATCCATAAATATTTTTGTAATACTGACGTTGAAATCTACCCATCCATAAATATTGTTGTAATGCTGACGTTAAAATCTACCCATCCATAAATATTGTTGTAATACTGACGTTAAAATCTACCCATCCATAAATATTGTTGTAATACTGACGTTAAAATCTACCCATCCATAAATATTGTTGTAATACTGACGTTAAAATCTACCCATCCATAAATATTGTTGTAATACTGACGTTAAAATCTACCCATCCATAAATATTGTTGTAATACTGACGTTGAAATCTACCCATCCATAAATATTGTTGTAATACTGACGTTGAAATCTACCCATCCGTACCCACCAGGTGCGTGATTTGGAGGCTGAGCTTGAAGCAGAGAACAGGAGAGTGCGTGAGGCCGTGGGCAACCAACGAAAAGCTGAGCGCTTTTACAAGGAACTCCAGACACAGACAGAGGAGGAGAGGAAGCAACTGGCCGAGTTGCAGAGCCTGAACGACCAGCTCACCATTCGCGTCAAGACCTACAAGAGACAGATTGAAGAGGCCGTGAGTTGTCTTGCTTTTCTTTCACTGGGCTGTTGTGTGTTGTTGTCATTGATGTGGTGGAGGCTGTTGTAAGTTGTACTTGAAGTGGTGGAGGCTGTTGTAAGTTGTACTTGATGTGGTGGTGGTTGTTGTAAGTTGTACTTGATGTGGTGAAGGCTGTTGTAAGTTGTACTTGAAGTGGTGAAGGCTGTTGTAAGTTGTACTTGATGTGGTGGTGGTTGTTGTAAGTTGTACTTGATGTGGTGAAGGCTGTTGTAAGTTGTACTTGAAGTGGTGGAGGCTGTTGTAAGTTGTACTTGATGTGGTGGAGGCTGTTGTAAGTTGTACTTGAAGTGGTGGAGGCTGTTGTAAGTTGTACTTGATGTGGTGGAGGCTGTTGTAAGTTGTAATTGATGTGGTGGTGGTTGTTGTAAGTTGTACTTGATGTGGTGAAGGCTGTTGTAAGTTGTACTTGAAGTGGTGAAGGCTGTTGTAAGTTGTACTTGATGTGGTGGAGGCTGTTGTAAGTTGTACTTGAAGTGGTGGAGGCTGTTGTAAGTTGTACTTGATGTGGTGGAGGCTGTTGTAAGTTGTAATTGATGTGGTGGAGGCTGTTGTAAGTTGTACTTGATGTGGTGGTGGTTGTTGTAAGTTGTACTTGATGTGGTGGTGGTTGTTGTAAGTTGTACTTGATGTGGTGGAGGCTGTTGTGTGTTGTTGTTATTGATGTGGTGGAGGCTGTTGTAAGTTGTACTTGATGTGGTGGTGGTTGTTGTAAGTTGTACTTGAAGTGGTGGAGGCTGTTGTAAGTTGTACTTGATGTGGTGAAGGCTGTTGTAAGTTGTACTTGATGTGGTGAAGGCTGTTGTAAGTTGTACTTGATGTGGTGGAGGCTGTCGTAAGTTGTACTTGATGTGGTGAAGGCTGTCGTAAGTTGTACTTGAAGTGGTGGAGGCTGTTGTAAGTTGTACTTGATGTGGTGAAGGCTGTTGTAAGTTGTACTTGATGTGGTGAAGGCTGTTGTAAGTTGTACTTGATGTGGTGAAGGCTGTTGTAAGTTGCACTTGATGTGTTGTAAGCTGTTGTGTGTTGTTCTATCTAATGTACAAACATTGAGGTCTACTCACCTGATGTATCCCACCCCCCTTCTCCCCCACCCACAGGAGGATGTAGCCAGCCTGACAATGAACAAGTACCGCAAGGCCCAGGCCCTCATTGAGGAGGCTGAAGCCAGAGCTGATGTCGCCGAGAAAAATCTTCAGACCGTCCGCCGTTCTCGTTCTATGTCCGTCACACGAGAAATTACCAGGGTGGTCAAAATTTAAATGGTCAGTTGCTGTTGTTTTTCTATAGCTATTTTCATTTTCTTTTTTTTATAACTATTTTCAAACGGTTTTAGACAAAGCATTTTTGTATCAAACAAATCATTTTTAAAATATCTATTTATTTACTTTTTATATTCTTATAAAACTAATATGTATACGTTCATGGCGTACAAGGTTCTTGAGTTAGAAAACATTAAAATTTAACTATTTTATTTACACCATCTTTATTGTCATCTCTTCCACAATACAATTGAACTATTTTATTGATACCATCTTTATTTCCATCTCTTCCACAATACAATTGAACCATTCTATTGATACCATCTTTATTTCCATCTCTCCCACAATACAATTGAACAACTTTATTGATACCATCTTTATTTCTCTCTTGCAGATTCTCCAAGCTTAGCTCATGACGTGTATAAAGAGTTCAATGTCCAGCTTCTCTTCTCCCTCATTCTTTCAGTTTGCTTACGTGTATTGGTATCAAAGACATACAGCGGCACTTGTTTCTGGAGCCTGTGCTACATACAGCCAAGATGGCCGCCAGAGAACAGCTACCAGATCAGGTGTACATGAGATGTGGAACTCTTTAGATCATATACCAAAGTTGTATGAAAAAGTATCGTTGATTCAAATCGATGAGTAACGGAATAAATTATTTATCTGTCCATGCTTTTTGTGCTAGTCAAGCGATAATAAAAGAAATTATTCAGCATTTTGTGACTGTTTCTGTTTCATTGCTGTGTGGGACACTATTTCTTCCAGGATCTAAAATATTCTCTATCCAAGTGATCATTTGTAATTATTAGTAGAACAGGTCTCTGTAAGATTTGTAAATACTTTTATTCTTTATTTTTTTCATTAGAAATAGCATTTATTAAATTGAATGGTTTTGTATAAATATTTGTAGCTATCATGAAAACTGGAGTACCCTAAAGTCAGGGTACCGACTGTGTGAGACACCTTGTGGAAGCTCCTCTCAACTTTTTGTTATACCATTCATTATGACTTGTTTACTACACGTATATTTATTGATATTTTATTTAAGGCAGTGGTCTGCCCAAGTGCTTTAAATCTTGAGCTGCTTCTTGCGCTAGATGTGTGACAGATATTGGTGACGTCATGTTCTTGTCTTGTTCTGCAAGATGTCTCTACGTGTTCATTTTTTTATTCAAACTTGCAAAAACCTAGAAGTATATTTGTTGCTGTGCTTTTGTATTACATCATTTTTATACAACTGAGAATGGCTTATAACATTTTATAGGCTTTATCTATTTACAAGCTGTGTTAAGTTATAAAAAAAAACTAAGAAGGGACTAATGAACATCTTTAAATAATCAGACGCGATACAGATAAAAATTGACCAGCTATTGTTTTAAAAAGTTGCTCGGGACTAGATATGAAATAAAACAAAAGCACCGTCTATCTTGTTGGGTTGATTTTTTGATGGATGACTGTCTCTGGGATTATCCAGACTAATGGTTTTCTATTAAACAGCGAAAAACTTCAGACAACTCGCTTCTATTTATTTGTCTCGTAGTTTTTAGTAGTCTTGTTTTATTTATTTGTTCCGTCATAGTTTTAGTACAGTCTTGTTCTATTTATTTGTTGTGAAGGTCCTTTCAAATTAAATACAAAGTATTTATTTGTGGTTTACTCGAATTGTTTGTGGGAATAGTTTAGGCAAAAGGCGACACCACTAAAAGGTGACACAGGCAAAGGGTGACACTAGCAAAGAAAAACATTTTTAAAAATGTATAAATTACTTAAAATGTGCGGCTAGTGCTGGTATCACTAAAGTAATGACCTTTCTTCAGTTTGTCATGTAGATTTATAACAAACAGGTGACACAGCTTGCGGTACACCTACTGCCAACTAATTAAACTAATTACGGCCTAAGTTTAGTTTCGAACCTCAAGCTTTAGGAAACACAAAAAGCATAACGCATGCTGATCTAAATAAAACTTCGCGAAGTTTCTACCATACTGGTAATGAAAAGGCTAGCTGTGACTCGGGTCAGTGACTGATGAAGGGACGACAGTGTTTCTTCCAGACTTTTTTCTCCGGGGGGGGGGGGCACTTGAAATTTTCGGGCGGTAGAATTCCCCCCCCCCCCCCCCCCCCGAAGAGATGCCTGGAAGAAACTCTGAGGGAAGAGGTCAAGTCTCGATAAACGTCTGTGCCAGGAATTCGGTTATGACTTATCAGAGAAATAGAGCAGTCATATAACCGTGAATTGAGAGTTTCATTGAATCTCTGTGCTGGCAGCTACGTAACATCTGAAGGCAAACAGCTATGACCGGGTAACCAGCTGTGAAGTGGGAGCTACCGGTGGAGCTAAACAGGAGCTAAGATGGAGCTAAACTCGATAAGACTGTCTCCACGCTTGGCTGATGGCTAGAGAGGCCATTTCACACTTGACTGCACCCAAGCTTTCTCCCACCCTAAGTTTGTCTTGACATTGATTTAGTCCAGGAGCTTCAAACATCGTGTCTTTTAGTTGAGAGAAATTTGGTCTACTGAGATTTGTTACATATAGGAAGTAATCGCCCCTACCTTTAACTCCTCTTCCCCCCCCCCCCCATCCCTTTTCTCAATCTTTACAGAAACCAGTTTTAAATTGCGTTAAGCGGTCAGTGATCTAATATCGGACAAAGACAAACTAGGTCAAGTTCAGTTCGTGCAAAATCAACTGATGCGCGGCAAATAAAATTCTGACGACATGACGTCATGCACTAGAAACTACTGACACAAAAGACACCATATTTGCCTCTTAGGTCATGCATCATAAAGATTAAAAGAACCTGAACATTTCTTTAAGCTGAGGATTAGTTATAATGTTAGACTTCACATTAACTAAATCATCAAAGTTCCTGTGGAGCAAAGGGCTGTAGCCACACCTCTCACCTAGACTCTGTTTCGAGACAGTTCTCTTTAGGTCAGCCCACTGAGACAGTTCTCTTTAGGTCAGCCCACTGAGACTGTTCTCTTTAGGTCAGCCCACATAGACAGTTCTCTTTAGGTCAGCCCACAGAGAATGTTCTCTTTAGGTCAGCCCACTGAGACAGTTCTCTTTAGGTCAGCCCACATAGACAGTTCTCTTTAGGTCAGCCCACTGAGACAGTTCTCTTTAGGTCAGCCCACTGAGACAGTTCTCTTTAGGTCAGCCCACTGAGACAGTTCTCTTTAGGTCAGCCCACATAGACAGTTCTCTTTAGGTCAGCCCACTGAGACTGTTCTCTTTAGGTCAGCCCACGGAGACAGTTCTCTTTAGGTCAGCCCACATAGACAGTTCTCTTTAGGTCAGCCCACTGAGACAGTTCTCTTTAGGTCAGCCCACTGAGACAGTTCTCTTTAGGTCAGCCCACATAGACAGTTCTCTTTAGGTCAGCCCACTGAGACTGTTCTCTTTAGGTCAGCCCACGGAGACAGTTCTCTTTAGGTCAGCCCACTGAGACAGTTCTCTTTAGGTCAGCCCACTGAGACAGTTCTCTTTAGGTCAGCCCACTGAGACTGTTCTCTTTAGGTCAGCCCACATAGACAGTTCTCTTTAGGTCAGCCCACTGAGACAGTTCTCTTTAGGTCAGCCCACTGAGACAGTTCTCTTTAGGTCAGCCCACTGAGACAGTTCTCTTTAGGTCAGCCCACATAGACAGTTCTCTTTAGGTCAACCCACGGAGACAGCCCACTGAGACAGTTCTCTTTAGGTCAGCCCACTGAGACAGTTCTCTTTAGGTCAGCCCACTGAGACAGTTCTCTTTAGGTCAGCCCACTGAGACAGTTCTCTTTAGGTCAGCCCACTGAGACAGTTCTCTTTAGGTCAGCCCACTGAGACAGTTCTCTTTAGGTCAGCCCACTGAGACAGTTCTCTTTAGGTCAGCCCACTGAGACAGTTCTCTTTAGGTCAGCCCACATAGACAGTTCTCTTTAGGTCAGCCCACTGTGACAGTTCTCTTTAGGTCAGCCAACATTAAAACTCAGCAGCCTTTGCTTCTCTTTCCACTATCCTCTAGGATTGTTTAGGCCGGCCAACTTTCTTTACCCTTATTTAGACTAGGTTTATGGACATTTGTTATCGACAGGGACAAAAACTTTAGGCTGTGTCTATGAAGCTTTGGACTGGGCTATGATCACAGGGAATTGGGGTAGTAGTACACCTAGTTAAACTAGTCACTGTATTTAAATATTATACCAGGGTACTAGTACACCAAGTTACTAGTCACCACATCTATACAATGGTACAAGTACACTAAGTTAAACTAATCACTACATTTATACCAGGGTACAAGTACACTAAGTTAAACTAGTCACCACATTTATACCAGGGTACAAGTACACTAAGTTAAACTAATCACTACATTTATACCAGGGTACAAGTACACTAAGTTAAACTAGTCACCACATCTATACAATGGTACAAGTACACCAAGTTAAACTAGTCACCACATCTATAAAATGGTACAAGTACACCAAGTTAAACTAGTCACCACATCTATACAATGGTACAAGTACACCAAGTTAAACTAGTCACCGTATTTATACCATGGTACAAGTACACCAAGTTAAACTAGTCACCGTATTTATACCATGGTACAAGTACACCAAGTTAAACTAGTCACCGTATTTATACCATGGTACAAGTACACCAAGTTAAACTAGTCACCGTATTTATACCATGGTACAAGTACACCAAGTTAAACTAGTCACCGTATTTATACCATGGTACAAGTACACCAAGTTAAACTAGTCACCGTATTTATACCATGGTACAAGTACACCAAGTTAAACTAGTCACCGTATTTACACCATGGTACAAGTACACCAAGTTAAACTAGTCACCGTATTTATACCATGGTACAAGTACACCAAGTTAAACTAGTCACCGTATTTACACCATGGTACAAGTACACCAAGTTAAACTAGTCACCGTATTTACACCATGGTACAAGTACACCAAGTTAAACTAGTCACCGTATTTACACCATGGTACAAGTACACCAAGTTAAACTAGTCACCGTATTTACACCATGGTACAAGTACACCAAGTTAAACTAGTCACCGTATTTACACCATGGTACAAGTACACCAAGTTAAACTAGTCACCGTATTTACACCATGGTACAAGTACACCAAGTACACCAAGTTAAACTAGTCACCGTATTTACACCATGGTACAAGTACACCAAGTTAAACTAGTCACCGTATTTACACCATGGTACAAGTACACCAAGTTAAACTAATCACCGTATTCATACCTGAGGCCGAGGACCTACCTACATTCATAAAATTTCTGTCTTGATGACGAGAGTCATACACAAGCTTCCCTAGAGCGTGACATAAGTCTTTGGGCTGCAAAATGTTGTAAAATACTGTGTCGCTTCTGCTGTCGGCTGTTGTAAACCTTTTCGTTGCTTCTGCTGTTGGCTTTTGTATAGCGTTTTGTTGCTGCTACTGTGTACCTATTGCTGCCAGTTTTTAAGATTTCTTTTATTTATTTTTGAATGTAATGTTTTGTTGGCCAAACATTTCAAAAGAAAATAATCTTATTCCCGCTTTACAACAAGTGATCATATATATAAATTTATATATATATATATATATATATATATATATATATATATATATATATATATATATATATATATATATATATATATATATATTGCATTTGGTAAATGACATGCTCAGCTAATTGTAAATGGCACCAACTTTATTTACGTAGATCTATGTCTTAAACTTTGAATTGCACCCTCGTAAAATTTTAAGTAGTTGTTACAAAAGAAATCCAATCCTTGCATTGATTGAAAGTGTTTGACAGGAGAAAAAGGTCTTAAGAAATAACTGTGCTCTGCGGAAAAATAGTTCCAAGGATGGTTTTGGTTCTCGTTATAGAGATGGGAACCTGTTATGTAAATCACGCTGTTGTTTTTCGCGATTCCAAAATGGATGGCAGGGACGGCCATTTCCCTAAACGCATGATGACGTAAGAATAAGTCTGACGCCATTAGGTACTCATCTTTCAGCACTTCAGGTATGTAGAATATATTGGCCGCGCGATACAGGACGAAGTTAAGACCGAGGTTGCTGCTGTAGTTGTCGAGGAACTTGACAGCGAATGCGTGGTGTCTGTCGTCAGGCTCCGTCGTGTCGGCGTAGGTGTTCTGTAGCTCGGCAAACACCTTGAGCATGGCGCTACGCTGGGACTTGTCGTTCCAGTGGAGCCAGTGCTTCAGGTGTTTGGTCTTGTAGATGTTGATCTTGGAGGCGCCTCTCGGCATCCAGATCATGTCGCGAGGCAGGTCCGCGAGGTTCCAGGAGTTGACGAGGGTGTCGGCCGTCACGTGCAGGTAGCCCTTGACGCGCATGCCCAGTCTGATGACGTGGGAGACGCACTGGTAGCTGGAAGATGGACCGGACGACAGC